GGTCAGATCACCTTGAATTCTGGGTGCAAAACTGTCCATTTAAAGAGATAAAATTACTATCTTTATTAATACTAATAGTTATAACTTGGTCATGGGTTCAAGTCCTTTCAAGAGCATGATGCTTCCGGTTGGTTTGAGTTTTTTTTTGTATGATCAAAGCTATCTAAACCAGTTTAGGCATAATTTCACTAGTCTTCTAAAATCTTAGAACTATCGGTAGAGTAAGAGTTCTAATTACTAAATTTTAGACGATTCTCTTACTCTTTTACTTCATGTTAGATATTTTTTTATTCTTTTACTTTCGAATCCTTTGGGACTAATGCTATGAAACAAAAGTTATACATTTAATATTATATATTATAAATTAAATATGGTATACATTTAACATTATACATTATATATGGTATACATTTGACATTATATATTATACATTATACATTATACATTGTATATTATATATGATATATACTATATAAGTATAACGTATATAACATATATATATTGTACATTATAATTTATACATAATATGCTGTTATCTATAATCTTACGTTAATATATAATATATATGTAATATATTATTTGTTGTTTTGATTGATTATAATGAATCAATAAATCACTATAATTTTTTTTTTTTTTTTTGGTCCCTCGTTGAATCATTATATCAATTCTATTACCTAATTGCCTTCGTTATATTATGAATTGTGATAACTATTTAGTTAGAATTTATTATAATATATATGTTAGTTATTTATTTAAAATTTATTATAATATATATGTATAATTATCATATATAATACATTATATATTAAAGAGACATTATATATGTATATTTATTACTTAATACAATAATACATAATATTATACTGTTAATACATAATATATTTATATATATGTATAATGTATTATAATTATCATTTTGATATTTGGATTCATTATAATCATTATTTTCTTTTAGTATTTTGATATTTGTAATATATCATCAATTTAGTATGATGGTCTTTATATTTAATATGTACATTATAGATTTAATTTCTTTTTTGATTATATGGTCTTTACGTTTAATATATATATATACATATATATATTGTTGGTATATATAATTTGAAAAAAAAAAAAAAAAAAAAAAAAAAAAAAAAAAACCCAAACGAGGAATTCGGGGATTGTTTGGGGAACGAGCTTTTTTCTGGGATTCCCCAAATGGGCTTCGGGCCTGGATCGGGGAATCCCCTTGGGCTTTCGGGCTGGGGCCGGAGACAAGGGTCCCCTGCCCATGCCCATCCCTACGCAACAGGTGTGTTTTGGATAGATTTCAAACCTTAAGGGAGTCATTGATAATTATTTAGGGGTGTTTTTTATGAATTTCAAATGTTTAAGAACTAAAAAACCTTAGTTTACAATTTAGTCTCTATCTAATGTAGGAAGTTGGTAAGTAGGATCAAGCAGTCGCTCTCCATCGGCATAGTATTCGTGATCAACTACTAGCAAATGCATCTGTATTAATATTGAGAAATGATTATGTTATCACAAAATAACTAAAATTGGTATAGAAGATTCTAACTTGACGTAATCAATAGAGACGAAAAAAGGGGTGAAGAAACTTCACATTCCCAGGGGAGAGGGACTTGTAGTAGCAGAAATTCTATGCCTGTAATTCTTTCAATTTGTTTCATTAATTTCTTTCAATTTGTTTCATTAATTCTTATCTTTGTTCTGTAATCTGCTACTCAACCTTGGTAGGTGTACATTAGATAAACTTGTTAGGACATACGATACCTTGGCATTCTTTTAATAAATAGTTTATCTTCTTGAAATTTATATATAAAATTCATTGCCACAAGAAAAGAGTTTTCTGTGAAGGAAATTAAGAGTTTCTTTTAACAGTTTCACTTTGCATATATTAGTATTTTTAATAATATATAAGGTGAAAATTGAAGAACTTGCTGCAGCGAAGAAACGATAGAGTATGCTAAGGATAAGTAAAATGAAGTAGCAAGAGAATCGAATATAGTAGACTGCTTTTCTTCTTAATTTCGTACTATTTTATGCATATCATTCATATAATCTTTGAATATTTAGTGCCATTTATGTTTAGACCAAGCAACCATTTACGTAACTATTGTATAAGTCCAATCATGTTAAATCTCAAGTAATATATCCATATAATCATTTATTTACTATTATTAATTCCCGTTTATTCTTTATTAATTAGTTTAACGATACATGATACAATGAGAATTGATTGATGCGTGAGTATTAATGCATTCACCATCCTTAAGCTTTGGTGCATATATATATGCTCGGTCTTTTAAGAGTAAATCAACTACCTCGAATTCTAATTAATTAGACGGCAGATAGAGTAGCTTAACATTTTCGTGCCATGGGTTGGACAAATTAAGCCATTTACGTAGACTATACTCATTTTGAATATCTAATTAATAATCCAATATTCATCAAACATTTATGCTATTTCCCATCACATGCTTATACAGAAAATATGTTGGAGCATGTGGGGCTCAAAGAAAAAAGTGCAAGTTTGGAAAGCCCAAATTTGCTATTGTGGGGTGTCAAAACCCTAGGAATACACAAGTTTGAGATAAGTGAATCATAAGTTAATCAATTGGTTGAGAGATTTAAGTCTAGAAGGTGAGAATACTTGATCACTACATTCTTGTCGTGTTTAGTAATGCATGGCACTGTTACAAAAGGAGAAGTACCTTTTATATGAATAGGCTTTTGTAACCACGTACAAGAAAGGAAATGTCTCTGTTTTATATCAATGGAAAGAAAGTCGAACACATATAAACCCATTTTAATACTTTAAATTGAGTTTCAAATTTAATAATATAATTAAGCTCAAGCGTTTGAAAACCAGGGACAATCAGAAGCAGATCTGCGAGCGTGCATGATGACTTCTGGTATATATATTTATGTTAGTCGTGCTTAATTAATTTTGCCCATGATTATTTTAGTTTATTAAAATTGTGTTTGAAACTTTTAAGTACGAAGTATGGGTTTGAGAGGAGGAAGAACAGAAATTGAGAAAAAGGGGCCACGAAATAAAAATGTGATGTTGGCGTAATTTCCTTGAAAACGATCAAAAACTAAAAAACATGCATAACAGAATGGAAGGTGGATTTCAAACATGCTATTGCCACCTTCATATATAGGAGTTGCATTACGTAATATCATCTTACAACCCACACAAAATTGAAGTGGAAATATTATTAGAGACTTCCGCTTTGCTCATCTGAAAACTCTTTACAGACGGTTCATCTGATGCCTCATGCAGTTAAATCTAGTGTCAGCGGATGGGGTTTAAAATTGTTAAATTCTAAAGTCTCGAGAAAGAGAGCGAGAAAGAGGCCACTCCATAGTCCACACTCCACATTAAAGTTCTAAGCTTTAATAAAACTGTACTACCACAATTTATGTTTGATTATCTTCAGAGATCACTTCAATACCAAATCAATTATTATCACATCATCAATCTTGTTGGTTAGAAGGGTCACCATTCTTTCGGAACGAGAGTTAAAGAGGGTCTGATCACCTTGAATTCTGGGTGCAAAACTGTTCATTTAAAGAGATAAAATTACTTTCTTTATTAATACTAATAGTTAAAACTTGGTCGTGGGTTCAAGTCCTTTCAAGAGCATGATGCTTCCGGTTGGTTTGAGTTTTTTTTTGTATGATCAAAGCTATCTAAACCAGTTTAGGCATAATTTCACTAGTCTTCTAAAATCTTAGAACTATCGGTAGAGTAAAAGTTCTAATTACTAAATTTTGGATGATTCTCTTACTCTTTTAGTTCATGTTAGATATTTTTATATTCTTTTACCTTCGAATCCTTTGGGAAGAGGGTGCTTAGACGGGATTGGTTTGCTATGGCTAGAGATTAACATCCAATCCAGAAAGCCTAATAATTGTACTGTTTAGTGTGGGGTAAGCGTCCGAATGTCCGATCCTGACAAATACATTACTGACACTCACTCTATACAATACTATATATTTTAACATTCCAAGATAACATTATCTCATGTGAACCAATAATAAAAGCACGTGACTGGTTCAGTGGTTCACATGTGAAACTACCTAAATACCTTCTTGAAGGGTGATAGGGTAATTGTGGGCTGACAAGCTTGGGTCCCCAGTCCTTATTATGTAGAACAGCTAGCCCTTGCTGGGTGGACATGGTGCAGGAGGAAGCCAGGAACAGGACACAGAGAGAGACACAGGCTCCTTTATATCAGATAAGATGGTAGTTGGCTGGTGGGAACCAAAGTTTTGGGTAATTGACCTGACCTGATAATGAGCCTCATGAACCCAAATTAGGTTGGATTGGTCTACCAAACCTATAAAAATTACAGGTCCAATCAATCTCCTAACAAACTTTAATTTATTTCAATAATGCATCACCCCCACCAGCTGAAAACAAGGCACCAAGGTATCATTTCATAGCCTAAAAATGTTTACGTGATTGGTGTTAATGGTGTGGTCAATGAAATTCAACATTCAAAATCAACCCCATTTCAAGTCTCTCTCCCTAACTCTGTAAGCTTAATTATCATAAAAAAAGGCAACCTGCAGGCAACTGAGATGTATGGAGGGATGAGTGACAAGAGAGATAGAATAGTATGTGGGAAGAAAGGGAATCCCAAGGAATTTAAAGATCTGACATGAAAAAAAATGGAGAAGAAATACTTTGACCTGTAAAGAAAAAATCCAACAGGATTCGGATTCAAATCCTGAGATAATAATAAGAAGAATAGAATAGTAGCAGATTCTCTCTCTCCTTTCTTTTTCTTTTTTTTTAACACTTTTTGACACTGTTGGAGAACTGTACAAACTCACTTTTGTCCCCTCTTCTTTCAATTCATACTCATTATACAAAGAAACAAGCTTTCACCTCAACTTTAGACATTCCAATCTAGTCTCTTTTCACTTTTTCTGCTAACTTGTTTACCAAATATTCTTTTCCTTCACCATATTCCCTCATCCTGTAAAGAAGCACCGAACTCCACCGTGAACCCGCAGCCCCCACCCACTTAACCAAACCAACACAAGAAATCAATCCCTTACCCAATACAACCCCCAATCAGGAGGAAATCGTGGAAAAACCAGCAAATTCGAGGTGGTATGTGGAGGGAGACCGGCTGGTTTTTGTAGCATCACCGAAAGTTCGAATATTGAAAGGGAAGGTGTATTCACCGTTGAAATTCCGGTGAGTGTTCGATATGCTTTCGGGTGAAACTTTTTTATAAGTGTTTGAATTGAGTTGTTCATATGTCCTCGGTTGCTTCCATTTCCAATTTGGCTATCAATTTAATTTAGAAAATGATCAATTCGGAATCTATTAGAGATTAGGAGAGCGAATTTGTTCTTTTATAGTTAAAATTGAAAGTATAATCATTTGTTTTGCATCCAAAAGATTGAATGCGTTAAAAAAAAAAATCTTATGCTAATGTATCCGTTAGTACTTTAGTAATGAACAAGATAATAATGTAAGTTAATTCCTGCTTGAGATGTTTGTTGTTGCCTTTGATGACTTTAAAGAATGTGGGTTTTTTTTTCCTTAAAAAAAGTTTTTATCTGGGTTGTTTTGTTGCTTTTTGAAATGGGAATGCTTAAGTTATTTATGTCATTTGTTGTGTTTGTTGCTATTGATGAGTGTAAAGCTTGTGATTTTCTTTGATGTCCATGGGTTGGCATTATTAATAGGAGTTCAAGCTTAATTGGTGTGCATTTTAGACAGTAGTAGCTATAGGCAGCAAAGTTATAAATGGGAGGTACTGAAGATAGTGTGGGCTTGAAGAGAATTGTGTTTGTAACTGTGGGAACAACATGCTTTGATGCTCTCGTAAAAGCTGTGGATACTTTGGAAGTGAAACAGGAATTGTCTAGGAGAGGGTACACCCACCTTGTCATTCAAATGGGTCGAGGAACTTATGTGCCCACTAAGGTATTGTCCTACTTTAGTTCAATGGTTATTTGTTTCTCTTTATTTTTTTATTTTTGTTTTTGCTGGTGTAATTGGTTTTTCTTGTTTTTGAATCAAATTGTAAAGTAGAAATTTGTGAGGGTGAAATGGAGATTTCTGATAATGATGTTTTGAGTATTTTGATCTTATTTGCTTTGTTGTTAAGCTGAAGTGTTTATGTAATTTGTAGGAAAGTCTTAAGAAGGTTAAGTAGTGAAATTTGAGGCTGAAGTTCATATATTTGTGAATTCGTAAAAGTTTTTGTTATGAATGCTTAGTTAAGTAATACATTGACTTGTTGGGTTATTGCTGCTTTAAAATTATATTCAACAGGTTAAGTAGCCTTAGGAAAGACCTGTAAACAATTATTAAAAACAAATTCTTTGCATGTAAAAGCATAGGTGGGGGAGACATGGGGAAAAGAAAAGACTTTTTACATTTCAGAGATATGCAGGAAACATGCATGGAGCTCCAACTTAGGAGTTATGGAGCTACATTTTTAGGCACTTCTTGATATAAACATAAGGTAGGCAATAGCAATCTAGAATCCTGCCAGGTCACCAAATAGGGATGTCTAGTCCTGCAGGGGCAAGTGGGAATATAGTTAATAAATATGATGAGAGAACCTTGTTGTGCTTATTAAGGTTAAAGTTTACATTCACAAATTGAATAATATGTTCGTCGTTGGAGTGTGGTTTCAACTAAAAACAGAAGTTTGACTTTTATTTGAACTTTTTGATACATTATCTTGGAAACAATTTAAAGGATAACAATCAACTTTATTTATGATGATGATTAATTATCTTAGACATATCAGTATTATTGTTATAATGCCGCGTTTGGCCATCTGCCAAAGTTTTGTGTGGCACTTGTCAAGGCTCCCTTGTTGCGTCAACAAAAGCAATTTGTTAAGAAGTTTACTTTTACTTCATCAAAAATCCAAAGTGAGGTGATTATATTTTCTTTTGATTTGTAATTTATCATAATTATCTTGAGTTTATTCTGTCAGCAGTCTCTTAGAGAAGATGGGTCCTTTGCTGTAGACTACTTCACTTTTTCATCAAGCATTGCTGATCATCTGAGGTCAGCATCTCTTGTAATTAGTCATGCTGGTTAGCTCATATGATCATTCTTTTCTTTCTTTGTCCAGTCTTTTAATTATTCTTTTTTGATTTCCCTGGGAATATTTCTATTCTGTTGTGTTGTACTGTGCATTTTATTCACGTTCCTGTTAATTGTAGTCTAAATAATTGGCTTTTGTTTTGAGAGGACATGATAATATTCTAAACAATTTTATTGTTTGGTTTGGTTTGTAATGAAATTAGAATATTTTATGGTTTGTAATGAAATCCCTAATTATAAGTCATCTGTTTTAAGATATGCATAGGCTACATGATCTCAGTCAAGTTTTATCTTCTTAGTCTTGATATTTTTTAGGAGTTATGCAGGAGACAGTGTAATTACTTCTTTTTATTAATTTTTTTGATACACTTGCAAGACATGCACATACATGAAGGAATAACATTTTCAATTGGTTCTGCCATGTTGTAGGGTCAGGTAGCATATTTGAGACCTTGCGACTGTCTAAACCCTTAATTGTGGTGGTTAATGAAAGTTGTTAACTAATAGAGACAAAGTAGTAGAAATGGTTGACCCCTCTCTAAAGGGCCAATATTCAAAGAAGGATCTGATTCAGGTCAGCTTAATTCTCTATTGTCTTTAATCACCTTTATTGTTTATTAATTTCATTAAATACCCCCAGAAAAAAAAAGTTTAAAAATTAACAAAAACACCCCCACCTACCCAATACCCATACTTGCCAGATTCCGGCAACCACCATCGATGGTAGCCGGAATCTATCACAACGGCCTACAAACGACCGAAGCTGACCGTTAATTCATCGATCTGGCATTTTCCGGCTAAATCCACAGTGGATTTGGCCGTCAGCAACGACCAAAGAAATGGTCATCGTTGACGGTCAACGACGGCCAAATCTTGGTCACCATTGACTGACAATGACGGCTATATCTTTGGCCATCTCTAACGGTCGAATCTGGACTTTTTCACGGATCTAGTTGGAAAATGCCATATCGATGCCCTACCTGTCAGATCCGACCAGTCTGCGTCGTAACGGCATTTTTCGGCCAGATTTCGGCGGTGATGGCCGAAATTTGGCACTATGGGTGGTGGGAGTGTTTTTGTCATTTTACAACATTTTTATATATTGGGCGAGATTTGCAAAGTCACCTAAATGAGTTAATGAGTTTGTTACGAAACCCTTTTAATAAGTGTCCGTGAATGGTCTCAAAAGCGTGATGGATTATCATTTATTGCTTATTTCGTCACCTTGTGCGGGATTTGCGAATTGACCTAAATGGGTTGTCATAAACGGTTTTGAAAAACGGAATGGATTTTAATCTATACCTTGTTTTATATTCATCTATTATTGTAATTTATAACTTGTAGTATAGAAATATTTTATTAAGGATTATTTGGTTTTATTTGTCTTCTAAAACAAAGTTGAGAATTAGAGCTGATNAAAGCGTGATGGATTATCATTTATTGCTTATTTCGTCACCTTGTGCGGGATTTGCGAATTGACCTAAATGGGTTGTCATAAACGGTTTTGAAAAACGGAATGGATTTTAATCTATACCTTGTTTTATATTCATCTATTATTGTAATTTATAACTTGTAGTATAGAAATATTTTATTAAGGATTATTTGGTTTTATTTGTCTTCTAAAACAAAGTTGAGAATTAGAGCTGATTCCCAAATCCCAAGTCAGAGAGACAGAAGAAATTACAAATGTCCAAAGGATCTGGTGAGGCTCCCGCTCACCTAAGAATTGGAGGGTGGGGCGGTGAAGAAGGAATGGAAGATTGAGGAAAGTAATAAATGTCATCTGTCACATACTGCAAAAAGCCATAGATTCTGCAGTCTAGTCTTTAGACTGAAATTACTCCATCACCATATACGCATTTTTAATATATTTTTTTTTTTTTTCATAACAATCCAAAATATGAAATCTAACTATAATGGAAATTACATAATTCAGTTGCCTAAAGAGATTCAAACATATTTCAAAATAAGTCATACTATAAACCATGCATAGGTATTTGATTCATCTAGCCTCGTGTCAGTCAAAAAAGCCTCTGTTGAGGTAAATATTTTTAAGTTTTGAATTTTAATGTATGAAAATTAATGCTTTTCCATATTATAATTGTGTTTAAGGTTTTGCCAGTGGTAGTTAAGCTTAAGCATATGAAATGCTGCCCATCGCATCATCTCTTATTTCTCTTTTTCTGTTCTGGTTTATTAATGATGGTATTTAATACTCTAAATAGTCAAATCTATTAGATTAATTAAATTTGGCACAACCATTACATGTTGACTCAAACTAAACTACTCCTTTACAAGTTGTATCATTTGGATCTTATAGAGAAAACATCTTGAGCTGAATGTATTTAAACGAATGCTTGTTGGTGGCAAATTCAATTGAGTAATTAATTAATTAATAATTTCTTTATACAGTTAGTAGATGTGGACGACCTTTAATTATATTTCCAAAACCAAATCTTCGACGGTGCTCGTATCTACCATTTTAGAAAAAAACGACTACGTTTCTAAAATCTAGGGTTTGAGGCTTGAGGAAGAAGATGATTTTGTCAGAAGAATGAAGAAAGACTTTTTATTTTCCACCTGATTGAAAACATTTGTCACAAATAGATAACGAGCTTTTCCCTTGTTATCTATTTGTGACAACCTAACAGTTGTTCACAACGGGCTGAGGCCCAGCACAGTCCATAACAAGTAAAAATTCAAAAAACCGATTTAAAATGAAGTAAACAGTAACTGCTTCAGTTACCTTTTCACTTCTCTTACTCGATGAATCAGATGTACTTGCTCTGCATAAAGACTGGTCATTTTGGCATAATGAAGTAGTTTTACTGTAGGTTTGGTCTGACGGGGCTTCTTCTGATGATTCTCTTAGCTTGACAGCTACGAAGATTTGATGTCAAGTGGGGATCAAACGGAACGCGAAGGGAAAGCCAAAGGTGAGATACTTTATAATCGCAATGTGTAGGACTTAATAAAGATGGGAAAGTAATAGGTAAATTTATAATACACTCTCGACATCTCTTTTTTCAAACTCTCCAGATCTCTTGTCTTAAACACTCTTTCTTTCAAACTCTTTGTATTTNTAATAAGTAAAAATTCAAAAAATAGATTTAAAATGAAGTAAACAGTAACTGCTTCAGTTACCTTTTCACTCCTCTTACTCGATGAATCAGATGTACTTGCTCTGTATAAAGAATGGTCATTCTGGCATGATGAAGTAGTTTTACTGTAGGTTTGGTCTGACGGGGCTTCTTCTGATGATTTCCTTAGTTTGACAGCTACGAAGATTTGATGTCAGGTGAGGATTAAACGGAACGCGAAGAGAAAGTCAAAAGTGAGATACTTTATAATCGCGATGTGTAGGACTTAATAAAGATGGGAAAGCAATAGGTAAATTTATAATACACTCTCGACATCTCTTTTTTCAAACTCTCCAGATCTCTTGTCTTAAACACTCTTTCTTTCAAACTCTTTGTATTTCTTGTTTCAAACTCTATAATGGCTGGAGTACCACTAACTCGGAATGAAATCAACAACTTTACATTTATATTGTTACTTAGAAGAAATAGGCAGTATATCGGCAATCGTATCCATCCTACAACGGCAGAGATAAGAATGGAAAGCCAGATGTTAACATTGACTCTTTTGTTTATGCATCAACCCGGGTGGCGACGATGACGATGACGACGATGACTACTAACTCTAGGATAGCCTAGATGCTCTTTTGTTTATGCATGCCTATCTTATTGAAGTTTTTCCTGTTTGATGAAAAACTTAAACGCCACCCGGGTTGTTCTGCGGGGGGTTATTGCCGCCACCCGAGTTGATGCCGTCGTCAGGGGCCAAGCCTCTGAGTTCTTGCAAAACAAATATAGCCATGTCTCTCAACATGGGCGGCAGTTGATTCGTTGTCAAGACGCCGACGATTGCTCTGAACTACAAAATGAAAAAAAATGAAAATTAGTATGGCTAAGCAAATGAAAACAAATTATTTAACTAAATACCTCAAAAATTTCCAAATCCGCAAGGGTCTGAAACCGTCGGCCTAATAATTGTTGAAGAGTCAAATGTTAACATCCGGCTCTCCATTCTTATCTCTGCCGTCGTAGGATGGATACGATTGCCGATATACTGCCTATTTCTTCTAAGTAACAATATAAATGTAAAACCTACAGTAACAATATATTGTTACTTAGAAGAAATAGGCAGTATAACAGCAATCGTATCCATCCTACAACGATAGAGATAAGAATGGACAGCCGGATTTTAACATTGACTCTTCAACAATTATTAGGTCGGCGGTTCCAGACCCTTGCGAATTTAGAAATTTTTTAGGTATTTAGTTAAATAATTTGTTTTCAGTTGCTTACCCATACTAATTTCCGTTTTTTTCATTTTGTAGTTCGGGGCAATCGTCGGCGCTTTGACAACAAATCAACTGCCGCCCATGTTGAGAGACATGGCTATACTTGTTTTGCGAGAACTCAAAGGCTTGGCCCCTGACAACGACATCAACCCGGGTGGCGGCAATAACCCTCCGTAGAACAACTTGGGTGGCGTTGAAGTTTTTCATCAAATAGGAAAAACTTCAATAAGATAGGCATGCATAAACAAAAGAGCATCTAGGCTACCCTAGAGTTAGTAGTCATCGTGGTCGTCGTCATCGCCGCCACCCGGGTTGATGCCGTCGTCAGGGGCCAAGCCTCTGAGTTCTCGCAAAACAAGTATAGACACGTCTCTCAACATAGGCAATAGTTGATTCGTTGTCAAGGCGCCAACGATTGCCCTAAACTACAAAATGAAAAAAACAGAAATTAGTATGAGTAAGCAAATGAAAACAAATTATTTAAATAAATGCCTCAAAAATTTCCAAATCCGCAGGGGTCTGGAACCGTCGACCTAATAATTGTTGAAGAGTCAATGTTAAAATCCAGCTCTCCATTCTTATCTCTGTCGTTATAGGATGGATACGATTGTCGCTATACTGCCTATTTCTTCTAAGTAACAATGTAAATGTAAAGTTGTTGATTTCGTTCCGAGTTAGTGGTACTCCAGCCATTTTAGAGTTTGAAACAAGAAATACAAAGAGTTTGAAAGAAAGAGAGTTTAAGACAAGAGATCTGAAGAGTTTGAAAAAAGAGATGTCGAGAGTGTATTATAAATTTACCTGTTGCTTTCCCATTTTTATTAAGTCCTACATGTCGCGATTATAAAGTATCTCACCTTTTGCTTTCCCTTCGCGTTCCGTTTGATCCCCACCTGACATCAAATCTTCGTAGCTGTCAAGCTAAGAGAATCATCAGAAGAAGCCCCGTCAAACCAAACCTACAGTAAAACTACTTCATCATGCCAAAATGACCAGTCTTTATGCAGAGTAAGTACATCTGATTCATCGAGTAAGAGGAATGAAAAGGTAGCTGAAGCAGTTACTGTTTACTTCATTCTAGCATGATGAAGTAGTTTTACTGTAGGTTTGGTCTGACGAGGCTTCTTCTGATGATTCTCTTAGCTTGACAGCTACGAAGATTTGATGTCAGGTGGGGATCAAACGGAAAGCGAAGGGAAAGCCAAAGGTGAGATACTTTATAATCGCGACGGGTAGGACTTAATAAAGATGGGAAAGCAACAGGTAAATTTATAATACATTCTCGACATCTCTTTTTTCAAACTCTTCAGATCTCTTGTCTTAAACTCTTTTTCTTTCAAACTCTTTGTATTTCTTGTTTCAAACTCTTTGTATTTCTTGTTTCAAACTCTATAATGGCTGGAGTATCACTAACTCGAAACGAAATCAACAACTTTACATTTATATTGTTACTTAAAAGAAATAGGCAGTATAGCGGTAATCGTATCCATCCTACAACGACAGAGATAAGAATGGAGAGCCGGATTTTAACATTCACTCTGCAACAATTATTAGGTCGGCGGTTCCAGACCCTTGCGAATTTGAAAATTTTTGAGATATTTAGTTAAATAATTTGTTTTCATTTGCTTACTCATACTAATTTTCCTTTTTTTCATTTTGTAATTCGGGGCAATCACCGGCGCCTTAACAACAAATCAACTGCCCCCCATGTTGAGAGATATGGCTATACTTTTTTTGCGAGAACTCAGAGGCTTGGCCCCTAACGACAGCATCAACCCAGGTGGCGGCAATAAGCCCCCGCAGAACAACCCGGGTGGCGTTGAAGTTTTTCATCAAATAGGAAAAACTTCAATAAGGTAGGCACGCATAAACAAAAGAGCATCTAGGCTATCCTAGAGTTAGTAGTCATCATCATCGCCGCCACCCGGGTTGATGCCGTCGTCAGGGGCCAGGCCTTTAAGTTCTCGCAAAACAAGTATAGCCACGTCTCTCAACATGGGCAGCAGTTGATTCGTTGTCAAGGCACCGACGATTGCCCCGAACTACAAAATGAAAAACACGGAAATTAGTATGAGTAAGTAAATGAAAACAAATTATTTAACTAAATACCTCAAAAATTTCCAAATCCGCAAGGGTTTGGAACTGTCGGCCTAATAATTGTTGAAGAGTCAAATGTTAACATCCGGCTCTCCATTCTTATCTCTTCCATCGTAGGATGGATACGATTGCCGATATACTGCCTATTTCTTCTAAGTAACAATATAAATGTAAAGTTGTTGATTTCGTTCCGAGTTAGTGGTACTCCAGCCATTATAGAATTTGAAACAAGAAATACAAAGAGTTTGAAAGAAAGAGAGTTTAAGACAAGAGATCTGGAGAGTTTGAAAAAAGAGATGTCGAGAGTGTATTATAAATTTAGCTGTTGCTTTCCCATCTTTATTAAGTCCTACACGTTGCGATTATAAAGTATCTCACCTTTGGCTTTCCCTTCGCGTTCCGTTTGATCCCCACTTGACATCAAATCTTCGTAGCTGTCAAGCTAAGAGAATCATCAGAAGAAGCCTTGTCAGACCAAACCTACAGTAAAACTACTTCATCATGCCCGAATGACCAGTCTTTATACAGAGCAAGTACATCTGATTCATCGAGTAAGAGAAGTGAAAAGGTAGCTGAAGCAGTTACTGTTTACTTCATTTTAAATCTGTTTTTTGAATTTTTACTTGTTATGGACCGTGCTGGGCCTCAGCCCGTTGTGAACAACTGTCAGGCACCGTTGAAGATCGGCCTCTGTGAAACGTAAGAGAGCGTGTTTGGTACTTACCACAGAAGAGAAAGAGAGTCAACGAAGAACTATAGGGTCTTTTTCGGTACTACCACGAAATGATTACAGGTCAAAGATTGAGTTTTGATTTCACCGCATGCAGTGGTTCGTTAAACAAATCGGTGGTGGCATTGATGGAGGAGAGTTCATTACTGTTGTTGAATTGGTGGAAGAGATTCACATGAAGGTCAAGGAGAATGAGAATGTGGGTTTGACTTTGGCCGCCGTGAAGAGTGCGGTGGTATGTGTTGGACACAGAGTAATGTATGGATTTCCAAATGTTGATGCTGATGTGTTGGAGGATCATACTCAGGCTTGTCTCTGGTGTTGGGAGGTAACTACTTTGTGAATTTTTTATTTTATTCATTGCTGGTTTCAGTTATTGTTACCCAATCTAATTTGTGATATACTCACTTAGAATTACTAATTTACCATTGGACTGTTATCTGGTCAATGGCGTAGCAATTAGGGTTCAGCTATTTGAAATTCTGTACTTTTTTAACAGACCAGAGATGTGAAGTTGCTTCCGAATTCTGTGCGTGGGGCATTGAAAATTCGGCGGATGTGTAGGAGGAAGATTCATGAGAGGATTACTGCTGTTTCTGGTAAATTTTTCTGGATAAGATGGAAACATGGAGACATTTTCTTTTAATGATTCTGAGCAATATATATTCTAATACATAGAAATATTATAAAATAATNAGTAAGAGGAGTGAAAAGGTAGCTGAAGAAGTTATTGTTTACTTCTTTTTAAATCTGTTTTTTGAATTTTTACTTGTTATGGACTGTACTGGGCCTCGGCCTGTTGTGAATAATTGTCAGGTTATCACAAATAGATAACAAGGGCCTCAGAACTCGAGGTATCCCATGTATTAGATTCAGTAAATATCCCTCATGCCTTATTATGTATAAGTCCAGATTTAGCCGTTAGCGACGGCCAAAATATAATTAAGTAACGTTATAAAATTATAATTAATTAAGTAATCATTTAACTATAATGTAATGTTATAATTGATTAAGTATGATATTTAACTAGTAATTAAATGTATTAATGTTTATCAATTTATCATATATAATTAATTAATTCCAAATTTATTATAGATATACTTAGAACTTGATAATTGAAGTAAATAATTAAATATATTATTACTCAATCAAATATACTATTTTATTCAAAAATAATTATTTTAATAACATTAAAAATGTAAAACACTTTTAATTGGATCATAATTCCAATTATTCACTTAATTAATCAAAACTTTAATATTAATGTATTATAAATATGTTTAAGCTTTTAATATGGTGTAATTTATATGTAATAAGTATAATTGTATTCGTATATTTATTTAATTAGGTTATTCTAAAAATTTAACTTTTTCTATTTTAAATTTTTTTATATGTAAAAAAATAGAAACCCTTCATTATTCACGTTTCACAAATATTTTATTGTAGTCCAGGTTCTAAACAAGTTCCAAAACAATTCCAAACAGGTTCCAAACATGTTACAAATAGGTTCCAAAACAGGTTCCAAACAGGTTCCAAAACGAATGAAAACAAATTATTTAACTAAATACCTAAAAAATTTCCAAATCCGTAAGGGTCTGGAACCGCTAGCCTAATAATGTTTGAATAGTCAATGTAAACATTCGGCTCTCCATTCTTATCTCTGCTGTTGTAGGATGGATACGATTGCCGATATACTGCCTATTTCTTCTAAGTAACAATGTAATTGTAAAGTTGTTGATTTTGTCTTGAGTTAGTGTTACTCCAACCATTATAGAGTTTGAAACAAGAAATACAAAGAGTTTGAAAGAAAGAGAGTTTAAGACAAGAGATTTGGAGAGTTTAAAAAAAGATATGTCGAGAGTGTATTATAAATTTACTTGTTGCTTTCCCATCTTTATTAAGTCTTACCCGTCGCGATTATAAAGTATCTCACCTTTGACTTTCCCTTCGCTTTCCGTTTGATCCCCACCTGATATCAAGTTTTCGTAGCTGTCAAGATAAGAGAATTGTCAGAAGAAGCCCTGTCAGACCAAACCTACAATAGAACTACTTCATCACGCCAGAATGACCAGTCTTTATGCAGAGCAAGTACATCTGATTCATCGAGTAAGAGGAGTGAAAAGGTAGCTGAAGCAGTTACTGTTTACTTCTTTTTAAATCTGTTTTTTGAATTTTTACTTGATATAGATTGTACTGGGCCTCAGCCCGTTGTGAACAACTTTCAGGTTATCACAAATAGATAACAAGGGCCTCAGATCTCGAGGTTATCCCATGTATTAGATTCAGTAAATTTCCCTCACGCCTTATTATGTATAAGTCCAGATTTAGACGTTAGCGACGGCCAAAGTATAATTAAGTAACGTTAAAAAATTATAATTAATTAAGTAATCATTTAACTATAATGTAATGTTATAATTGATTAAGTTTGATATTTAACTAGTAATTAAATTTATTAATGTTTATCAATATATCATATATAATTAATTAATTACAAATTTATTATAGATATACTTAGAACTTGACAATTGAAGTAAATAATTAAGTATATTATTACTCAATCAAATATGCTATTTTATTCAAAAATAATTATTTTAATAACATTAAAAATGTAAAACACTTTTAATTGGATCATAATTCCAATTATTCACTTAATTAATCAAAACTTTAATATTAATGTATTATAAATATATTAAAGCTTTTAATATGGTGTAATTTATATGTAATAAGTATAATTGTATTCGTATATTTATTTAATTAGGTTATTCTAAAAATTTACCTTTTTCTATTTTAATTTTTTTTTTTTATATGAAAAGTAATAGAAACCCTTCATTATTCGCATTTGACAAATATTTAATTGTAGTCCAGGTTCCAAAACAGGTTCCAAACAAGTTCCAAAACAATTCCAAACAGGTTCCAAACAGGTCCCAAACAGGTTCCAAAACAGGCTCCAAACAGGTCCCAAAACAAATGACAACAAATTATTTAACTAAATACCTCGAAAATTTCCAAATCCGCAAGGGTTTGGAACCGCCAGCCTAATAATGTTTGAAGAGTCAATGTTAACATCCGGCTCTCCATTCTTATCTCTGCTGTTGTAGGATGGATACGATTGTCGATATACTGCCTATTTCTTCTAAGTAACAATATAAATGTAAAGTTGTTGATTTTGTCCCGAGTTTGTGTTACTCCAGCCATTATAGAGTTTGAAACAAGAAATACAAAGAGTTTGAAAGAAAGAGAGTTTAAGACAAGAGATCTGGAGAGTTTGAAAAAAGAGATGTCGATAGTGTATTATAAATTTACCTGTTGCTTTCCCATCTCTATTAAGTCCTACCCGTCGCGATTATAAAGTATCTCACCTTTGGCTTTCCCTTCGCTTTCCGTTTGATCCCCACCTGACATCAAATTTTCGTAGCTGTCAAGCTAAGAGAATCGTCAGAAGAAGCCCCGTCAGACCAAACCTACAATAAAACTACTTCATCATGCCAGAATGACCAGCCTTTATGCGGAGCAAGTACATCTGATTCATCGAGTGAGAGGAGTGAAAAGGTAGCTGAAGCAGTTACTGTTTACTTCTTTTTAAATCCGTTTTTTAATTTTTACCTTTTATAGACCGTGCTCGGCCCCAGCCCGTTGTGAAAAACTATCAGGTTATCACAAATAGATAACAATGGCCTCAGATCTCGAGGTTATCCCAATTATTAGATTCAGTATATATCCCTCACGCCTTATTATGTATAAGTCCAGATCTAGCCGTTAGCGACGGCCAAAGTATAATTAAGAAATGTTATAAAATTATAATTAATTAACTAATCGTTTAACTATAATGTAATGTTATAATTGATTAAGTATGATATTTAACTAGTAATTAAATTTAATAATGTTTATCAATTTATCATATATAATATATTAATTAGTAATTTATTATAGATATACTTAGAACTTGATAATTGAAGTAAATAACTGAATAAATTATTACTCAATCAAATATACTATTTTATTCAAAAATAATTATTTTAATAACATTAAAAATGTAAAACACTTTTAATTGGATCATAATTCCAATTATTCACTTAATTAATCAAAACTTTAATATTAATGTATTATAAATATATTAAAGCTTTTAATATGGTGTAATTTATATGTAATAAGTATAATTGTATTCGTATATTTATTTAATTAGGTTATTCTAAAAATTTAGCTTTTTCCATTTTAAATTTTTTTATATGTAAAATAATAGAAACCCTTCATTATTCACATTTCACTAATATTTCATTGTAGTCCAAGTTGCAAAACAGGTTCCAAACAAGTTCCAAAACAATTCCAAACAGGTTCCAAAACAGGCTCCAAACAAGTTCCAAAACAAATGAAAAAAAATTATTTAACTAAATACCTCAAAAATTTCCAAATCCGCAAGGGTTTGGAACTGCCAGCCTAATAATGTTTGAAGAGTCAATGTTAACATCCGGCTCTCCATTCTTATCTCTGCTGTTGTAGGATAGATACGATTGCCGATATACTGCCTATTTCTTCTAAGTAACAATGCAAATGTAAAGTTGTTGATTTTTTCCCGAGTTAGTGTTACTCCAGCCATTATAGAGTTTCAAACAAGAAATACAAAGAGTTTTAAAGAAACAGAGTTTAAGACGAGATCTTGAGAGTTTGAAAAAAGAAATGTCGAGAGCGTATTATAAATTTACCTGTTGCTTTCCCATCTCTATTAAGTCCTACCCGTTGCGATTAAAAAGTATCTCACCTTTGGCTTTCCCTTCGCTTTCCGTTTGATCCCCACCTGACATCAAATTTTCGTAGCTGTCAAGCTAAGAAAATCGTCAAAAGAGGCCCCGTCAGACCAAACCCACAACAAAACTACTTCATCATGCCAGAATAACCAGTCTTTATGCAGAGCAAGTACATCTGATTCATCGAGTAACAGGAGTGAAAAGGTAGCTGAAGCAGTTACTGTTTACGTCTTTTTAAATCTGTTTTATGAATTTTTACTTGTTACGTACCGTGCTCAGCCTCAGCCCGTTGTGAACAACTATCAGGTTATCACAAATAGATGACAAGGGCCTCAGATCTCGAGATTATCCCATGTATTAGATTCAGTACATATCCCTCACGCCTTATTATGTATAAGTCCATATCTAGCCGTTAGCGACGGCCAAAGTATAATTAAGTAATGTTATAAAATTATAATTAATTAAGTTATCATTTAACTATAATACAATGTTATAATTGATTAAGTTTGATATTTAACTAGTAATTAAATTTATTAATGTTTATCAATTTATCATATATAATTAATTAATTACAAATTTATTATAGATATACTTAGAACTTGATAATTGAAGTAAATAATTAAGTATGTTATTACTCAATCAAATATACTATTTTATTCAAAACTAATTATTTTAATAACATTAAAAATGTAAAACACTTTTAATTGGATCATAATTCTAATTATTCACTTAATTAATCAAATCTTTAATGTTAATGTATTATAAATATATTAAAGCTTTTAATATGGTGTAATTTATATGTAATAAGTATAATTGTATTCGTATATTTATTTAATTAAGTTATTCTAAAAATTTACCTTTTTCTATTTTAATTTTTTTTATATGAAAAATAATAGAAACCCTT